ATTGACATGGATATCATATTAGTGAACGCACATGGGAGCCAGTAAAGAATCTTGCAAATGCAGGAAAGGCGGTAGAGGCTTTTCATTGAAGACATCCATCAAAATCAAGATGAAAATCTTCTTTATAAAAGAAACAACATCTAGGCAAGATAATATTCTACTTTCAATCCTTGTTTGTAGCTTCTTTGTAGCTAAAATGCTCAGGAGATGGAGAACCAAAAACCAGTGGATTCGACTGAAGAGTCTTCATTTGCTGACTTGCTAGATAAGATATTACGATTGTTACAACCTTCAAGACGACGCAATGGAGATGAAGATCTTCAAGAATGACATATTCTTCCTCGAATAGATGATGAGATACAACGCGTTTGATATCATGACTTGGAAAGAGACTTCCGATGTTAAGTGATTTTGCTAGAGGTAGGAACAACTCCTCATGGTGTTCTAAATGTTCTATTTGAAGAAAGTTATGAAGGCCTCAACAATGATCAAATAACTGGGTGGTTTTTTCGCCCTAGTATGGGACACTACCGATGGTTGAGAGGCCCTATCAAACATCTTCGAAGAGAACAAAGATCAGAGTATGTGGCAAATACAATTCGTTGCATCATAGATTTCTTCATCATATGATGATCGCTCCTCATGAAACTCGTCCCTAGAAGGAGGAGTAATGTCACATACATACTCATAATTACATATATAAATATGTAGAAGTAAGTAAAAATAGGTAAAAGTAAGTTGATTCTATAGTATTTGATATGGTAGCTTCCTAGAAGCTTCATAGATGCTGCTTTGACTTCATAGGTGTCTTTAATTGATTTTTTGGATTAGAAACGTGGTCAAGAAGTTAGCCATGTACCACACATGTTGTTAGCTTGAAGACCAAGTTAACTATGTGGCCCACACGTAAAAAAACTTGCCTTGTAAGTCAAGGCATGTGTCTTACAAAGTCAACACATATTGGAGGTCCTATAGAACATCGCCATGTAGCCACTAGTTAGATAGTATATATAGAGACAAGAATGAAGCCTTCTTCACTCTTGTCAATTCTTTTTTTGCTTCGAGTCTAGTTTCAAGGGTCTCTAGTTTTCTTGTCTTTTGGCAATAGCCATTCCAGTTTCTCTTTCAATACACATACTTGTTTATTTATATTTTGTTACCTTTTTTCTGAGTGAAGGCTCACTTGTCTGAATTACTTTTTCATCGAGTTCTTGTCCTTGACAGCTTCAAAAAATCTCTAATCTGATTATTTGGCTCTCAACAGTAATAACACAATTCTTTCTACGCTAATATTTGTCATCCCTATATTATTAATGGTCCTTGCAAAGCATCAGCATTGATTGTTGTATTATAATATTAGATAGTGGCATAGGATTTTGTACTATAAATCATACTCTATGATTTTTGAAATCTGTAGCATTGTCCCTCTTTGTAATCCTAATTACCTCCTTAAATATTTGTAGATCCCTCAATTCTATTTTTTGCTAAATCATAAGTTTTAATCCTTATACAAATTGATCCATCATCTTCATCTTTGAAACATTGCCTATTTAAAAACATAGGAACTTGAATCAAGAGACATAAACTTGCATTGACATAGATTGTGTAAGATTAGCTAATTCATTGCATGCTAATTTCTTTGTATTTATGGACCAAAATTGATTCCTAAATTTGGTCTCAAACTCCTCTGAATGATAAAATCCACCTTAAATTCTACAATTTTGAGCTTGATGTTGCCACCAAATGATTGCCACATCTCTCAAATAGTTGATTGCATATATAATTCTTTTAATGGTATTTGTCTTAGATAATTAGAAGTATTGTCGCATATTGAAGAGCCATTGGCATACATCTTCTTGTCTTGAAGTTCTAAAATATATATTGGACTTGCTTAATTTCAGCCTAGTAGATGTCAACTCTTTTGTCTAAGAAGCTCCCATTTATTCTTCCAGAGATGCTATCTGATCTAAGAGGTGTTGCACCTAGGCTTCTATTTAGAATGGCTCTACTATATCTCCTATGGTATAATTTTTTTGCCAAACTGCACTACTATAATGCCTTCTTTACTTCCAATTGACTTCTTAAAAATAACTTGTGGTAGCACCAAAATAGTACTTTGTCTGATCTTAAGAAATGATCTTTAAATAGATGGTGGTTATTAACACACTACCAAAGAATAGATTAATACTCGCTCTAATATCCATGAAACAAAACTAAATTCTTTCTAAGATCTATAATCCTTTTAGTCTATAGCAATATAATTTCTATCACAAAATAAGACAAAACGGATCAAAACAAAATTGAATACAACTAAACAGAATAATACATAAAAGTCAAAGTAGAGCAAAAGAAAATAGAATAGAACAGAATAGAAAATGTAATCCAAATTTTACTAAGAAAAAAGAATCAAACCATACATAATCAAATGCTTCAAATGGCCTGAGTCAGTCATATTTATACTTTGTTTCACCATCTTGAAACCTTTTAGAATGTCTCTAAAGATAGGACCTACTAAAATAACCACCTTCCTAGAAGATTTTAGAGGTAGATCTTATTTAAATAACCATCTTAAGTTTTTTTTTAATATTCTATGATAGATCCTACATAAACCACCAACTTGGCCTCAATTCTAAAAACTTTCTAAAAACGGCTCCAATTACCTATCTCTACATATTATCGTAATATAATAAGACTATATAATGAAAGTTTAATCAAAATTAAATTTCTAATTAATACTTAATTATCTTGGTTCAATAATAATTTGAAGCATCTAAATATGGCTTTTATAAAAGCCTCTTAGATTATTTTCTTATCTTAATAGTTAATAGGTTGAAGGTTAGTTAGTAATTTTACCTTCTAGGCTGTAGAGACCTTTTTACTACCTTAGAAAGACCATAAATTAAAATGAGGTTAGAAGACATAAATAATTAGTATAATTGAAACTAGGATTAAGTTGATGGTAGAATTAGGCTAAAAAATCCTTATGATAGATTAGATTGATACCCGAGGGTTGACCATTTGTGAGATAAGATCAAAATCAGATCTCTGGCCACTAAAACAATAGCCTAGGACAAAATATGATATTATTCAAAGATCAAAGATTAGTGTTTGAGTGCTAGGTTGAAGCTTGTTTCAAAAATGTAAGGTTGGAGTTGATAAGATTTGTAGAGACTTTGTAATTGTTGTTGGAAGTTAAGGTTTGTATTAGCAACTTGGGATTTACAGAATGAAATTAGAGCTAGCACTTTGGGCTAGTTCATAAAATTAGTGTCACATTTATAGTTCAAATTTTTGTAGTGCTTGGTTACTTTGGTGTTCTATATGTTTGTAGAATTTTGTGATAATCCAACATTGCAATAAGGAGATATCTAGGTTTTGGTACAAGAATATACCGAAAGTTGGTAGTTTGGAATTGGATAGGATTTTGATGATATCTAGAGATCTATTAGTTGGATCAAGGTAAATTTTGGCCTAGTATTGGAAGACTTGAAGATCAAGCTACACACCAATTTTGAATTAAAATTAATAATTGAAGAGGGATAAATCATTATTGGAACTTTTGCATCACCTTTTAAGTTGGTAGCTAAGTAACATTAGTGCAGTTTTTGGAGGTTTTCTCACAATCTATAAACTGGATTGGGCTGAAATTTCTTAAACGCATAGAAGACTTGTATTATTGACAATTGCATGTAAAATTTTACATTAAGAAGATGATTAAATTAGAAGTTATAGCTTATCAAATCTCACTGATTAGGGTTAGGACTTACAAGAAAAATCTAAATTTCTTAAATATAAATTGTATAGTAATTGCTTAGATAATAAGATCTTAGCTTTAGCTATTGTTTAGTTAGTAGATCTCCCAATTTCTTCTTCTTGATGAAGATTTTTGTTTCAACCTCATTGGGTTCTACAACTCTCTTATTAGTATAAAATTAAGTTGGAAAATTAATCATGCATGATCGTTAGAGGGATATCTTTTGACATTATCATGTTGTCTAGATATCAATCAGAGCCTCATCACAAAATATGACAAACTAAATCAGAATCAAACTAAACGGAACTGAACGAAATAAAACATAAAAGACAAAACTCAGTAAACAAAAATTGAACAAAATTGAACGGAATAGAATATGAAAGACAAAACTAAGCAAACCAAAAGAGAATAGAACTGAACAAAATAAAACATGAAAGACAAAACTGAGCAAATAAAAATAGAACAAAATTGAACTCAGCACAAAGATGCAAAACCAAACTTTATTAAGAGAAAGGATCCAAATTCTAGAAACTTCCACAGTTCTAACTATCTATACAATTATCTTATTAATACCTTGTTATAGGTGCAGATGGACAGATCTCGATAACAATGGTTTTTTTTCTCCATTCCTACATTCAATTTATATTTTTATCAACCTTTTATTGCGAATGATGAATTTTTGTTCACAATCTGTATCCTCTAATACAATTGCAAGACCCAATTTTGCAGCTTTGTTGAGCCGAGTGTGTACCATGCAATGATGTAGATGAAACAAGAATGGAGGCTGACAGGGTCTGAAGTTGGGAGGGTCAAAAATAAGGCTATGACTAGGAACAAGGGAACTGCTGGGAACGGGAATGGGAATAGAAGGGGTGCAATGATGTGGATTGATTTAATAAAAGTTTGGGTCGCTTTAACATTCCCCTATATTCAAGGAGAATCATTAGTTGGTTATGATTTAGAAGAGAAATATATTGCAAGTAAAAATCACAAGTAGTTAGCAAAAACCATTTTTTAAGGAATAAAGTAAGACTTTCTGTAATAAACCTGTAGCTTTTTCCGCCGACTGTGCTGTTGCATTCCTTGAGGACAACGATTCTTTTACGCTTTGGAATCTCTCGAGAGGGTTTGCAAAAAAGTGTTACAAAACTCAAGATCAGTCTAGGTTTTTAGAGGTAGTAATGTCAATGTAGAACGTATCCGATACATACAATACTTCTGAGGAAGAAAAACTTGTGAACAGCATGTCGGCTGAAAGAGCCGTCCGGACTTATCACGACTTCTCGAATAATCTCAACAATGAGGAATTCCTCATTCTACCAGTTACTCCGAATAAAAATATCAGTTTTTGGCAAAAGTTTAGTGAAATCCTTGTCATTACTACGCAGTTTCAAACTCTAGCATTGCACTTGTAGCTTTATTTTTTTCAATCCTTCTTTCTGGCTATTTAAATGTACACATGTTGAAAACATGTCAACTTCACCAGGCGTTCGTGAAGCGATGGTGGATGTTACATAACATGCAGTGTAATGTGGCTCCAACGAACACAAACCCAGTTCGTGATCAGTGTCAGGAAATCCGGAGGAACATGAAGGGGTTTAGTCATAGCATGAGTTCGAGTCGAATGCATTTGAGAATCAGGAATTGAAGAAGTTTGGGACGGACACGTGAAAATCAGCCAGCTGAACTTCGTGTCGCTTCATGTGAAACTCCGTGACTACCCAGGGTCGCCACCCCTTGTTCTTTCTCTCTGTATTCACTTCTCTTTCCCATTAGGTTTGCAATTTCTTAGAGCTGGGTTTAGGAGTGATTTGTTTCGTCAGGAATCACACAACGAACTTTTCTGCGCAAGCATGGGTGTCATCAGTGCGGTGCAAGGCACAAAGCAGACGCAATCGCTCCTTTGAGGTACTTAGAGCACTGTGAGGCGGTACAATTGCAAAGTATTCTGAGCAAAGATAAGTTGCACCAGTATACTTGGGAATATTGAGCAGTATTTTGTGCTTGGGTTCTCACCATTCTTCCAGATTAGGTCGTGATTTGGCCTGTCGGTGCGACTAGTGAAGTCAGGAATCTTTGATTTAGTTTTTCTCTTCCACTTTGTATCTCCAAAGATTTCTCTATACCATAATTCTAGTTCCACATTCATGATTGGTATCTAAAAGTTTTCTAGTTATTTTCCGTTCTTGTGTCATGTGCATCAAAGAAGTGAAAATTGAGTAATCTTAGTGAGGATGAGTCATCAAAACTATCCATGAGCGAAGGTTCAAAAGTGGAAACATGTATCCAGAGCTGGTGCGTCTGTGGCATGCAAATTAAGTAACCGCTTTAGCAGACCCTAATATTGCTTAAAAAATTTAGATACAGCATCAACACCATGGCCGACAAACCTAAATTCACAGATGTATGAAATCCTAATTGTAGACATTCACAGTCAACACGAGTGGGCGGGAGAGGCTCGGACATGTGCATGACAGGCTGGACCCAAGATAACCTTCATGTTTAACTCTGATTCTTACCCATCTTTTCACGACGTCCTAATTCTGATTTGACCAAAACTTTTTTGGATACTTTCTGCATTGCACCCCGTATTTGATCCTGTGGCAAACTCCCTGATGACTACACAACTACAAGGAAAGATCGCGCGCTACCAAAACGGACATCTCAACGTGGGGTTGCAAACTTCCAACAACGCACAGAGAGAAAGAGAGAAAGAAGGGAAAGAGGAGAGCGTCACGGAAATTGGCGAAGCAGAAGTGGCCTCGCAGGCGGCGTTCGACAAGGGAAGGAGGCCGAGCACTGAGGGAGTTCGTTGAGAAGGTTCAGAAGCAGTGGATGGCAGCAGCCATAGACAGCGATTCAGAATTGGACGAAGAGGCAGAGAGTGAAGAAGAACACGCAGAAAGCAGCACAGCGTCACTCAGAAAGACAAACCCAGCATTGATCTGGCTCCAAGAGCATCAAGACGCCGGCAACAGAGCCAAATGCACAGGATTCGGCGTCAAGCATCCAGACCGATCGCCATGGAAGCACTAGTTCAACCACGGCCTTCGCACAGACAGAGGAGACCAGTTTTAGGGTTAGGGTTTCTGATGCTTCTCGAATTCCATGGGGCGAGCTCGATTCCATGCTCTGGTGTCATCTTGTCCAATTCAGCATGTATTCACTTGCATTTGTTTGATTAATCTTTTATTTATTTCTGTGTTGTTTAGATTGTAAAATGAAGTAAAATAAGTGTCCAGACTGTGAAGTTAGAGAAAAATATTTATTTACAAGATTTTTGTTTTGTTTTGTTTTGTTTTTATTTTGGTTTCTTTTGTGTGGGTAATATATCTGAACAAATGTTATGGTTGTATGGTGTTCTTTTTCCATAGAATGAAGAATATACAATTACGTTTGTGTATTTTTATTTACCTATGCTTGTATACAAACAAATTTAATCTGCAACACAGAATTTTATTTACTCTATACGATTGAATTTGAATTTATTTATTTAATTAATATTTAGAGGATTTGTAGGAATTAAAATTGGGTTTTTGCTTGCCTCCGCTATCTTGAATGCGCCGCTTGAAAGCTGTTGTTGTTGTCGATTGATGAGGAGCATGAACCGGGACGATCTCTAGCCTCGTGTGGGGGTGATGCACTTGAGTTGGATCACGCACTCTTCTTCGTCCTGCGTTCTGTTGTGGGTTTTCTTCATGCGTGCTGGCGCGTGCTTGGGATGTAATCGATTTGGAACGACCTAAGACACGGGACTGTCATGAATGTGTCACTCCATGACTTCTATCAAGCCAAGGGGTTGGTGGTTGCCAAACAGCCTTGTTGATGCCCAATTTCTGTTGCGAGTGCGTTGTGAAAGCCTGCGGAGTTAGTGCATCGTCTGCGGCATGGAAATGTCTCCGCTTCGCATTTGACCTTGGGTTCGGGTCGATTACGCACACAGTCTGCTAGTGGAATGCCGATTGAGCGAGATTCTCAATCCCGGCGATGAGAGGATCCACTTCAAACCCGTTTTCAGTGGCCACGTTGTAACCGGAGCCTCGGGTTTGATATGATCAGAGTTTGGTGGTTTTGGTCTTGCTCATCCTTCAGTGGTGATTTCCTTAGCGGTATGGCTCTGACTGGCGTTTTTGTAGCACTGAAATATTGGAATGGCACGTGAGGTTGACCCATGAACCTCGGGGTGAGGATTCGAAGGAGCTCTCACAAAGAGGGCGTGAAGACTACGCTTTGAAAAACATGAAGAGGTATGCGAGGCTTCGGCAGGAATTGTGCGGAATGTGACAATGTGTTGTACAGTGGGAGTCCGGAGGATTACTCTGTCGACTGTGACATTGCGCAGTCTCCATGGAGGCTATCAGAGAGATCTGCCTTGCCTCAACGAGACTCCTCGCCCGATGTGCGGCCCACGCAGCCTGTGGGCTCATCCGCAACTGGCCCGCCTTTCCCCAGCGATTTGACCGAAGCTTTCAAAATGCTGGCCGCGCCTCAAGATTACGGGTCGCGGAGATTTAGCGAGCAGCGTGAAGTTGGGACTGCTAATGACGATATCCGGTCACGATCTTCGACTGAGAGGTGGCCCAACGATGCACAGGACGGCGAGTGTGATTCCCAGGATCCTGAAGGTGAGATGATTTTCCCTCTCGCTTCACTCCTCATCACCAAATTTCGTGGTCGTGTTGGGTACAGCCCTCGAATGTCTTGACTGCTAGCCATTATCACAAGTTTTGCAGTATCAAGCAGGGGAAAGGTCATAGTTTTGAGTCTGCCTCGTCTTCCGCTTTTAAGGATACCATTCAAGTTTGTTACCAGTGGCTTATGTAACATCTTGTGTAAAGAACTCATTGCTCTGAGATTGTTAGGCTTCCAAGACAATAGAGAACTGCGCCGTTTTCCTGGGTTTTCTCAAGGGATTTCTTTAGTTTCACGGGCACTGGAGAACTTCTTACCCCAAGATGCTTGAACGTTCCAGTGTCTCATTCACCAGATAGACTGCTAAGGTTGGGGGAAGCTAGTAGTTGCAATCTAGAGAGAATAAAATTTTCTTATTCGAGCAATTGACATGGTTGGTCCTACCAATGCTGAAGTTTAAAGTTAAAAAAAATCTGCAGGAAGTGGGCGATGGGGGTCAGCGGAAACGGCGTCCTTGTGTGCGCGGTGGGGCTCAGTGAGCACAAACGATCAGTGGGACGAGGCTGAACAGGGTATGGACTCCTTCCGTGATCCTCTCTCCCCATCTCCATCGAGTAGACTGTCGCAGGAGGAGAAGCCGCAGACAGGTTCAACCACTGCACCTTCACATTCAGCGTCCATCGAGAGAAAACCTTCGCTGCGAAACGCTCCCAGTCAAGAGTGGCTAAACGCGCTCACGGGTCACGCATCTCCAACATCTCGTCCGACAGTCCACGCTTTTCCAGACAACGGTAACGACCATCTGCACCTCACCCCTCCGTCAGTTCAACGAAACACCTTCTTGCAAGAGACGCAGGGATGGCTAACATCCGTCATACGCCCCTTGCAATCACGAAAACACAACCCATGGGAGGATCCCAGCGAGTTCAACTGGTGAGCCGCAGCGCCAACAACAACAACCACCACCACCACCCCAACAACATCAGATTCTCCCACGGGGAGACGACGACATCCACTGACTGGTTCCCAATCCATGAGATACAACCGCCTGAGGTCATCAGACCTACTGACAAGCTCCGGCGGCGAAACAGGATTCAACGACGGTGATCACCACCGCATCCACCCTGTGATGAAGAAAGCAGCATCTATGCGAGAGCACAGGCTCCATGGGGGTACTACAACAGCCATAGCAAGAGCATGCAGTGAGAAGTATGGGGTGATGCAAGCAATCCTGGACTGTGTTTCCTGTGGGCGAGCCTCACCACCCATTGTGCAAGACTATTCCTGCCGCCAGCACGGTGTCGGTGACTTGACCCGCAATGCAAGCACCAGATCCGACTGCACCAACTCCAAGCGCGAAGGGGTGATGCATTTCTGCCGCCAGTTTATACGCATTGGGAAGAAGCTGGACAAAACGAGTTGAAGGCATATGAGGGCGGGGATCTCACTCACTCACTGGCTCACTCGCTCACTCTCATCGTGAACTTGTGGCGTGGATCCGAGCGATGGCTCCTCGCACAACAACCATGTCGGTAGCACAAAAATGCGCACTAGAAAAACCACACCTTTGCACAGCTTGCTCGTGTTCTAAATCGTTCACGCTTGTGTGCTGAATCTGTGTGTAGCTCGGTTGGATTGAGATGGGTGCATCCTCATGATTTGAGCATCAGTTTACTTCGGTGGATTCTCAGTTTGCATCGAATTCGTTGTCATGGAACTGCTCAGTGTCAAGAATTGACTGACTCTGGTTGTGGACTCTGGCGTTTTTGGACATGTCGGTAGTCGGTGTTGATGTGTGAAGGTTGCCTTGTGTGAAAATTGATTTACAATTTCCATTAAGAAAATGGACATTTCATTGCAGGTTCTATATTTTGGGTGTCATGTCTGTTTGGTTCGTTACGAAAGTTTGGATTCAGAAGTCCTAAATTATTCTCTGTGTTGCATTTGGACAAGTAGCATTTATTCTTGGTATGTTCTCTTTTGTTTTTTGCTTCTTAACTTTTTTTAACATTACAGGTGTTTATTTATTTATTTATTTCTTCGTTTGCTTTGTATGAATAGATTTTTTCACTACTGGAAAGTGTAACCGCATTTTGGATTTTTGTTCATTTGTTCAGTTTTTAAGAATACAAGTACTTGTCAATGTGAAGTATTAGTTCCCTTATCTTCATCAAGTGTATGGAAAAGTTACCTTAGTTTTGGTTGAGATTATTGACGATAAAAATAATAATAATTGTGTTATTTATTTATTTATTATAAATTGATTAAAACAAACTTATTCAATACTCTCATGAAACTTGCCTTGTTCATCTTTAATTAAGATGTTTATTGAATTTAAACATTCAAGCATTTTAAAGAAGAAGACTCATTTTAAGGTCTTAGCTAAATATACAAATATCCTTAAAATTTTCAAGTTCTTAAGTAATGACTAAATTTTTTTTATTAATACATATATATATATATATATTTAATCACATATCAACTATAAAATCTTTATTTTGTTGCTTGCATTATGTTCTAAATTTTAGCTTTGCTATCATACCATTTTTATACTTATAATGATTTTTTTATAAATGCTACAAAGAATTCGATTTTTTGTTTTTTAATATCAAGTATATCAATATTTCTAATAGTACTGCGAACATTGAATAGTAGTTATTTGATATTAAACCTTTATATGCCATGTGTAAATAGATTTTGTGTCTAATAATTAGTTGATTTTTACAACTACTAAATGGTTTATTATAACCTATTTGTATAATTTATCATAGGTTTAAGATCTTTAGATTACATGATTTTATTTACATAATAATCATATTCTAATTTTATTGTAAATTTATGATCGCTTTTTTATTATAAAAGACATAAATATAGATAAACTCCTCAACATAAAGTTTATATGTATACAAGTAAGTACATTTTGTATAATTCTAATGATATCAAAGTTTATAAATATAAAGATTCCAATAATTCCTAAATGGCCTTGTAGTTTATGAAATATTTTAATAGAAATTTGAAAAAGTCGATAGAAGTAACATCCCTTTTACCAGCTATGTACCAGCTATTGAATTTTATAATTCTCCTCTTCTACAATGACAAAAAAATTCCAAAATTATAATGTATATGATTCATTAATCTATTAACATTTTCAAATCAATGTAGCTTTTGAACTTGTTTCAAATAACTCATGTACGGAATCAACAATAATCTATTTGGCTTATAAATGTGTACATTAAAGAAGCCAATTAAATTAATTCATGTATATTATGACTTATTAAGATATTCCATAATCTCTTCTTACAAAATTTGATATAATATTTGCATATCAAAGCAACAATTGAATTGATGGGACATAGTTTATAAATATTTTTTTTCTAAAGGTGGTAGAACTATGTGAAAACAAATGCTCTCAAATTAGAGTATATTATAACCATGATGATTCAATCAAGTTCTAACAAGTTACTATTAATAATGAAAAGTACTTTAAAAAAACTCTAGAAACAAACAAAAACTTATCAAATGGATTCAGCACAAGATTTTATTACACCTTGTCGAAGCCAGAAGTGCAAAATTACTATACTCGCTTGGAGGGGTCGAACAAACCAGGCCCGACTACGATGTTTGAATCTTTACTCGGAGCCACTCAGGATACACTGATACAGACCGAGGTCTGAACCACTCACAATAGCCTCCTATAACATTCAGTGCCTCGGTAGAGGTCTGGAAGGCACTTGCAAGCGCCGTGAAATTAGAGACCTATTTAGAAATACTCAACCTCAACCCGACATAGTTCTCCTACAGAAAACTGTACCAATAGATGATAGCTCAGATAAAACAGACAATTGGACTTTCGCAAAGGCACAGTATTATGGAACGAAAGCACATACTCAGCTTACGAGGATAGCTACGCAGGAGTAACTGCGATGATCCTCTCTCAAAAAATTACAAACTTATGTGAGCATGGAGTCATAGTGAGAGGACGAGCCCAATTTCTCACTTATCTAAACCCTACAACCGAGAAAATCGGTATCCTCAACATCTATGGCCACAGCTACACTGGACCGAGAGCAAACCTATGGCAGAAAATAGCCAACTACCCCCTCCCGGATTCTGGTTTTCTTACTCCATGCTCACATAAGTTTCTCCCGGAGGTTTTGATCATACATCTCACCAGAACTACAATCACGCGGGGGTATGGTTGGGATCTGGCCAACCCTCAACTCAATATCAGACCACTCTCCCATATTTATAAAAATCAAACCAAGAGGTCCCACACTGCACAGACCACCCCACTTCGACAAGAGTCAGCTACGCACCGATCAAGGGAGAGCGAAACTCACCCTGGCATGGAAAACCGCCATCCAAAACAACCAAGACAAAAACTGGACGTGCAAAACTGTTGCAGCACTCACAGCGGTTCAAAAAAGTAACGCCCAAGAAGCCGCAAAACAAAGGGAAGCCTGGCGAGAAATGTACCAGCAACAAACAGCGGAGATCCTAGCGGCAGAACTACACCTCCAGAATAATTGGAACGACTCGTCTGCTAGAGAGGCCCTCAATGCCACACAAAGCAAACTGCAAACAATCCGACATTCTCGTCTCAGCAATCAAGTTGCTGCCAGGCATTCCTCGCGGGCCAATACATTGTTGTCCACCGAGTCATCTCGACTGTTTAAGCGTTGGTAATAACGCTGTGCGTATTGCGCCATGTCCCCTTGGTGGGTGAGTATTTTCCCTTGATCGTTGAACTCGCGGATTCTGGTTTTCTTACTTTTTGCTTTGAAGTGTTCAAAGAATTCCGCATTGCATCTGTCTCCAACTCTCGTCTACTTCGCAGCTACTGTATCCGGCAAACTCCCACGAGAACTCGACACTAGCCAAATAATCCTGATCCCAAAGCAAGGCGACAGATCCCTCATCAACAACTACAGACCGATCTCCCTTTTGGGCACGGTTTACAAAATCCTGGCCAAAACATTAGCAAACCGACTCCTTTCAAACCTACCACGCTGGATCCGCAGATCCCAAACCGGCTTTGTAGCCGGGCGTTGCATTTTTGACAATGTGTTCCTAGCAGTGGAAGTAATGGAGTGGGCAGAGGAGAGCCATCAGGACCTTGTACTAATGCTGCTGGATTTCGAAAAAGCGTATGATCGTATCAGCTGGGGGTTCTTAGAAGCAGCTTTAGCTAGACTCGGCTTCTTCAACAAATGGATCAACACTATAATGACTCTCAATCGAGAAGCCGCTGCCACCATCAACATTAACGGCCAACAGGGTCCTATCTTTCTCTTAGAACAAACTGTCCGCCAGGGATGCCCCTTGGCACCCTACCTGTTTCTCTTCGCAGCAGATATACTGGGATACATGCTCGAGGATCCACAAAGGAACATACTGGGACTTACATTACCTGACAACACAAAGTTTAACAATCAAATGTTCGCCGATGATACCGCTTTGTACCTAAAAGGCAACCCGGAGAACCTCACGAGAACAATGACCACACTCAATAGATATTGTGAAGCATCGGGAGCCAAGGTCAACTGGCACAAACAAGTGCCATGTGGGCAGCCCCACATGCACGACAATGGCAATGGGGCAACGATCTCAATCTTATCTGGACAACACAAGGCCAAACTGTTAAGTACCTGGGATTTCCTATCGGATACAAGATGCAGGATGAGAACAGGAACAATAAAATCCTCCAACAAATCACGAAGCACCTGGGCCCCAAAAAACTATCACTTGCTGGTAGACTACTAGTTATCAACCAAGTCATTCTAGCATCGATATGGTACCTGGTTTCATGTGCAAATTTTGGAGACAGGATCTTTGCGCAAATCAGGGCATTAATCCGCAACTATTTGTGGGGAGGCATCACAAGTGGAGTGGCCAGAGCAAAGGTCAAATGGGACACCATTACACAGCCAATAAACCACGGGGGACTAAAAATCTTCGATCCAGCAACCCAAACAAAAGCCTCCTCGCCAAACTAATCGTCAGAGGCCTCACACCAGGCCTAGAACCTTGGAAAATCCTCTTAAGACACAGATTGGAAACAACACGAGCCAAGCATTATGGCACCTGGCATCCTAGCGCCCACTGGATCATGGACAATAAACCAGTCATTACAACAGGCTCGCAGCTCTGGAAAAGCACATTCACAGCCTGGCAAAGCATAATGAGCAGTCTTACTCCCCTTGCCCCACAACACCGAGACGAAATACTACGAGAGCCGCTCTACGGAAATCCACGTTTAGTAGATGTCGAAGGAAGAACATGGGGATCAGACAAAGATGATAGACTGATCAACTGGTCACACAAGGTAGTCCACACATTAAACGACATCTGGGACGAAGAAAAAGGTAGCTGGAATAGCTCAGTTGGTCAGAGTAATTTCATTCCAGCTACCTCATAAGTTCCTCACTGATTTTCGTATATATGTAATTTCAACTACCATATGGGGGTTGTGCTATTCCACTGCCGATACGGAATACGTCTAATATCATTCACATTCGTCGAGACACCGTTAAATACGAACAACAAGCTACAACTTCAGTTTCTAAATGGAAAAATTTACTTGAAAATACAGCTTGTGAATCCCAACTGATCAGTTATTTAGCAGGTGCTGTGAAGCTGTCGTGAACCCAAAAATTGGTGCTCATTGAACTTCAAAGCTTTGCCTGAGCGGTCACAAAAAACTGATCATTTTGGAATCTCATCACTAGAAAAGATTGCAGAGGTTACTGTCGAGAGAAGTTGAGCAGCTGGGGCCTCACTGCCTTGGAAGCCAACACTTCTGTGTTCCAGACAGCCAGAGTAATTTCAGCCCACCTCAGGATTTGGAACCAAATTCACGTTCTGTTCTTCGTTTTTGTCGCAAGGTCACGGCTGAGAGATTGCTCCTTCAAGGTCTTAAGATACTCACGCATCAACTGAAACTTGTTTTTACCTAGAGAATGAAGATAGCTCCAAGTGTAGATCCCAGTGTCATGCAAGTCATCAAACGATATTCTGTGATAAGGCATCAATGATATGTTTTAGATGCTTCTGATCACAGGAGGGGTCTGTGTTCAAAAAAGTGCTGAGAAACAGAATAACATTATGATGTGCATGGTGCAAGTACTTCTCAACAACTGTGCACCATAACATCTACAAGATGTCTCCAGGGTTTCAGTTGGGAGAACTTGAGCCTGCCACTTGATGCAAGAGCAGATTCATTGCTTAACATAGAAGAAAAAAGCTGAAGTTTAGTGGGTGAATTCTGCAGTACTCCTGGACAATCAGATTGTAATTTTAATGGAGTTTACCTGATTGCATAATTTCCAGTGGGTTCAACTGATATGATGGCGATATGTCTCCTTCCTGCAACTGCCTGCACATTGTCATTTCCACTCGGTTGGAACATTGCTCGCAATGTAGATCCAGACAGAGGTTTAAAGGAAAAAATTGCGGCGACATCCATCGGCAGAGCAAGGCTTGGAGCTCAAATTCAAAAATGCGAGTAGAAGGTTAGGAGCCTAAATTATTTTTCCATAGTACTAATGAAAACGCCCGCAACATCAGATACAAAAATGAGAAAATACCCTAATTGTTCCTCTCGCTGATCGACGCTGGCTGTCAGCTGCAGGACTTTTGACGCGAAGAAATTCTGCAGAGTAGATGTATCTGTCTCCGTTGTTAAACTCCACTTCCAAAGCCTGCAAATATGAAGAAGTCAAAACATTCTCTCATTGCAGTTACAGGAAAAATGGCACAACTTGATGCAAGCCTAGATGAAGGTAACAATGTCACCAACACAACCGATTAGCGAAACTAACTCTTCAAACCCATGAACCCTAAACCTGGAAGGTAGTCACGTGTCCACGGTAATCGAAACTGTATGTCACAAGCGAATCTATGAAACGAGCTCCTCACAAAAACGCTGCACGAGAAGAAAGCTTATAGAATGCGAAACGAAAGGATGGCAAGTGCATGATGAGACAAGACATTTACTAACGGGGATTGCAAACAGCGTACCTTCAAATTGGGGGTAGAGGGAGGGATAGCTCGCAAAACAATTTTGGTGGCACAGATGGGGGAGGAAGAGGAAGAGGAAGCGAGACCTCGTACAAGAGGCCCGCCTGCCACAGCTAAAGCCTTGAGCATCTCTATTGCAACTGAAAGCTACACATTCTCACGTCGCTCCGCATCAAACGAAGCACCACACTCCAGACGAGCTGTTTGGTGACTTGCCCTTGTGGGGACATCCTCGTTTGGGAACCGTCAGAATCTAAATTTAGGTCATTGGTTTATTAGGTTGTTGCAACTTCTCTCTAATAGAGGTACCCTGTCCGCACGTTTCGTGCATCAATTCCTTCTTATAACTTTGCTCAGCTGTTTAGAAATTAAGTAGACCCTCTTTGAGCAGGTTGAAAGCATCTATCTTCATAATAGAATCAAAATTTTAAACTTTACTTTCATGTCACAAATTTTATGAGCTATTTATTGAAAACAAGGATTTCATGATTCTATGCGGAATAGATGACTGAGATAAAATGCCAGTTTAAGTTTCAAACACCAAATTTGAGCCGTATGCTACCGCTTTTAGCTACAATTCATTCTACAGGTATTGCTTGGTTAACGTTCATTTTTCGGACCTTCACGTGTGTTCTTCCGTTCTGACTGCTGGATTTCAAGCAATCAAAAAAGCCTTCAGAGTACACTACATCAAAGTTGAGCATGGAACTGGTACAATCCAAAGGTTTATCAGTAAATTTGGAGGCTTATGGAGGTGCCTATGAGCTCCAAGAAAAGCTTCCCAAATTTCCTCTGATGTGTGTAACAGAAAGGGTCACGCAAATGTTAACATTCAATCCACCTCCCTATTGCATGACGATCTTACGGCATCACCAAAATTTATTATATTTCAAGAACGGAAGCCGTGTTTTACTCGTACACATCTTGTTCGAGGCTGCACATGAAACCAATCAACTATTAACTCCCCCAACTTGCTCTACACTGAAACTCCAGCACCCTTCTCAGTTACTGACAAAATTCTGTTGATAACTGTGCGGAGGGCTGCGGCGCTGGCACTACAATCCCTGTCACCAAAACATGATCGTCCCTCATCTGCTGCCTTTCCAAGCTTTGGATCCAAAGGAATCCGACCTAAGAATGGAACTTTTATCTGCTTGCACATCTTTTCAGCACCTCCCGCTCCACCATAGAACACCGACGTTGCAACAAAACTTGACAATAAGTGTGGAGCATGACTTTTCAGAACATCTAGCACCTCATTTGTCACATCCTGTTCCTCGCCTTGTGCATCTACGCTTTTGAACTCTGCGCTCTCCAGCTGCTGACGCAGTTCACTCATGTTCTCAACAACACCAAGCACCTTGATCCCTACTTTCTTACAGAAGTTGATTTCTTTCCTCACATCAATAAGCGAGACTTCCTGCGGAGTAGTGACAATTATGGCCCCGTCTACATTGCTGGCCTTCAAATACTGCATTATAGAAATGTGCTCGTCAGAGGTGCCAGGGGGAGCATCAACCACCAGGTAGTCCAGATCACCCCAATCAACATCCTTGACGAACTGTTTAATCAAACCATTCTTCCGGGGTCCTCGCCAAATTACAGCTTCATCTGGGTCTGGCAGCATGAATCCAATGGACATAACCCCAAGATTGTCTTCCACATACACCGGCGACCAGCCCAAGTTACTCTGATGAATCTCTTGACCCTCCAAGCCAAGCATTTTAGGGATACTAGGTCCACATATATCGATGTCAAGAAGCCCTATCTGCTTATCCAAACCAGCTAATGCAAATGATAGCTGTGCAGCAAATGTGCTCTTGCCAACTCCTCCTTTTCCAGACAAAACTAGAATTTTGTGTTTCACAGTACGCATACGCTCCTCAATCGCTACAAGGTCTGAAGAAGCAAAAGTTTCAGGAACGATCACATCACCGGACTCGTGTGTAAGGGTCACAAATTCTAAAAGCTAAACTAGAAGCAAATATCAAACTTTAAACATCATGACCATTACAATTCATCATCTGTTCTTATAGAGTAAGCTAAGCCCAACCAAAATGATTACTACCACCACGAGCTTCAAATGTTATCTTATCAGCATATCTCATTCGAACCAACTGTAATTTACACCTGAAATATGAAAAGAAAATAATCCATAATGGTAGCATCGTTGATTGAGTCACAATTATAACACCTTATCCATCCACGCCCAACCAATTCAACCACAAATGGCACACCTGGATCTGGTCCTTTAGGAGCAGTAGCACATATTTGCTGGTTAGGACACCCCTCGCATGCTGACGCTTTCCCGGCCTGTTCAGCCTCCGTCCCAGGACAATCTGGTTCATGCAAGCAGTTGGAAAACATTAATCTCAGTAGGCACAACTCCAAGACACCACAGTTGCCCAGACTTACCGAGTCTTAATCACTCAAGATAGCTCGAGTGTCAAACAAGACACTTCTTCAAAAAAAACTCAATTTTCTCGCAAGTCCAATCAACCACATACCGCTTTCTTCTCTTTTCCTACAAAAAGACAACTCGTCTAACTCTCTGAATTGACCCCTAGGAACGATTACAAGCACTTGCAGCACGATCGCACAAGATGCCCTCAAAAACTATTTAAAAATCCTTCCACTAAGTCAATTGACGGTAGCCGGCTGCTCAACCAAGATTGAGACACATAACAACAAAACTTACACAATCAAGAACTCCATGACAGCCATCAATTCATCCTCCAGATTCAATGCACAGATTCCTCCAACCAAAACTTTCGCCCACGCACAAACAACAACCGCATCGAAAGCTAAACCACATAGACAGGATTCCACAAGGAAACAAACTTACGTTGATTCGCATCCTCGGGGACCGCTCCAACAGGAGCATCCTCCGTTTTTTCCACCATTTGACTCCTTTTCACAATCAAGCCCCTCACACAAAAACCTCTCACACAATCCTGCACTCTTATACTCTCCTGCACACCAACACAATTACTCCAAGGTTACAAAAACACGCTAATTCAAAGCTTAAAAAACCCTAGGTCAAAAACCCAACTTCCAAAAAACCCAGTTACCACCCAAACCTAACTCACCAACACATAAATCAACTTTTCATAATTCCTTCGCTACAGAATAAAGAGCGTGTACCTAGCAAAATTGAGCAACTGGGTAACGAAACAAGACGTCTCTACAACTCAACAATTGACAAATCCGACGAAGCGGGTTTTATAGTTCCATCACGGAGCTGAAAAACCTCTCGCAATTTCCACCATTAAACCGACCAACCATCAGCAGCAGCTTGACAGACACTTGGGGGAGGACCTAAGGCCGCCCCAAAGCCTTAAAAGCCAAAGAGTCCCGGTTACCGCGGTACCGCGAATACCGTGACCTCTTTATCTAGGAAATGATTACACCTCGCTGGACGTATCTGCGTTTACTCAAAAGAGGACCCTGCTGGTGCTCCTGCTATTGACTCTAAGGTGTGGATGAAAGGAACTTCGTGGATGACATCGTATTGGTATGTATGCGAAACAATTAATCTGCACCCAATTGTCATTGTGAGATCTTACTTGCAATCTCAATTTCATTGGCAAAATTCACTGTTGCAATACATAAATAATGCCAATTTTGTGACGTCTTCTTGTGTTTTCTTACTCAAAGTTGAACTATCTTTGTCCAATCACATTGAACTTGGCACAAACCATTAAACAAAGAGGAGTTTTGAAGATACAATTCTATAAAATATATATATATATATATATATATATATACAAGTAAAGCAAAAAGAAGAAGAAGAGGATGATAAACCTCTTGTGTTGATTAAGTGCAAATAGTAAGTACAAGTAAGATCCATGGGATTGGTGACACAACACAAAGTGCAAAAAAAATGGTGCTAATTTGAAAAGGATTGTATAACATTAATTTTGCAATCAAAAAAAGAAATTAATTTTAAAGACAACTGTGGATATGATAAAAAAAAAAAAAAAAAAAAAAAAACATATATAAGCATTTTGTTATTTACTTGATAAAAATGGAAACATGTATCATGATGTTATACTAAAATAAAACTAATTAAAGACAAAATGTGATGGAAAACAGTAAAATTTAAAGGATTGTGTATGTAAGCAACCCTTCCAACCAATCAATTTGTGGTAAAAATTCCAAAAATGATCTTTGATAAAATAAAATAACTGAATATTATAAATCTCAAAACCTATCTCATAATCTATAGAGAAATTAATAAATCATTCAAGATGTTATAAAAAGGTTACAATTTAAATTTTATATACTAATTTCATATTATAAGGGGTCTTTATATCAAACATGATTTTTAAAAGGGCATGGTGCAAAGGTTTTAAAAAAGTCCTCTACTTGGTAAAAGAAAAACGAAATATTTTATGAAAGCCTTGAATTTTAAAGATATTATAAAATTAGTTGAGAGTATGTTATGAAATTGACCATTTCTGTTTTTTTTTTAAAAAAAATATAAGTTTAAATATACCAATATGTATTTTGATTCTAACCATTATAATAAAAAAAATAATAATTTTAATTGAATTTTTGAGAATAATTTTTGTTGAGATCATTAAATGTAGCCAACGCTCTCCATAATATTTATTGTAGACTATAGTAATTACCATAGCTACAGTATTTAGAGCCTAGTGGAGAAGTACTGTTCATCCTCTTATCTTCTCTCTTCTTGTATACGAGACACAACCAGATCAATAGATTTGTATGTGTGAAGCTCTCTCTCTTTAGAAACCCTCTTGTATATATGACTTACTACTACTCTTGTGCGTGTATGACTTACTACTACTCTTGTGTGTGTGTATGACTTACTATTACTCTTGTGTCTTTCTAAACATTCTCAACACATTATCAGCACGATTTTCTTCTACATACTATCACAATTTTTTGCTTTAGTCTTTGACTCTTCAAACCTATTGCTACCCTTGTTTAGTGTCTGGGTCATGATCTTGTTCTTCTTGCTGGCCCCTCACACATTAGCTGCTTGCTTAGAGGACTTGTTCTACTCTCTGCCTTGCTTGCTTTGAATACTTGACCCAGCTCAACTCCACCCTCTGCTTGCTCCCTAGTCTATGCTGCGTCCCAAACTGCCCCCGAACTGTCATCAAACTGTCGCCAAATAGATGCCGAATATGTCGCTGACGCTGCCGCCCACTGTCGCCGCCGTCACTGTTTGCTGCTGTCCACCATTGCCCGTCGTTGCCTGCTGCTGCTGCTCGCCATTGCTCGCCGTTGCCTGCCATTGCCCGTCGCCGCCCACCGCTGCCACCTTACTGCCCTACCGCTGCCTTTTGCCGCCATCTTATTGCTATTCTATTGCCTTAATCTACAACTCTTTTTTCTTAAAATATATATATATATATATATATATATATTATTTTTTTCAAGTTCAAGTTTATCATTTTATTTGACTTTATATTTTAAGGTATGTTTTACTCAACTTTTCTACTTGATCTTGTATTTTCTTTATAGATTTATTTATAATGAGTGCTTCAACATCTTCAATTGCCTCTACTATGGTTCCAACTATTATTAGTGCATCCCAACATTTTCAAGCTCTTTTATTTCCACCATTGACTGTGGATGGAAACAATTATCTATTATAGGCAAAAATGATAAAAGCAAATTTATTTGCAGAACAACTCTTGGATGCCATTATGTTTGAAGAATCTCCTACAACAAGTATTTCTATATCTCTTGCTATTCGTTGGAAAGTATTTCTTCTCCTTCATCGTCATCTTATACCTGCATTACAACATCAATATTTGGAAATGGAAGACCCTGCAGAACTTTGGAAGAATCTTAAATCTACATTTGATCATCAAAAGACCATTTTTCTTCCACGTGCATGTCATAATTGGACACATTTACGTGTCTTGGATTTTCTAAATTTAAATACTTTCAATAGTGAAATCTATAGTATTGTCTCACAATTACAATTATGTAGACAAAGCATTTCTGAAGAAGAAATGATTGAGAAAGCTTTCTCTACATTTCCTCTTGCATCTGCTGTGCTTGCACAACAATACAAGAACATGAAATTTCAAAGTCATTCTGATCTCATGTCCTATCTACTTCTTGCGGAGAAGCAAAATGAGCTACTCTTGCGCAATGCCGAAGCTCGTCCTATTGGAACTACAGTTCTAGAATCTCATGCACCTAATATTTCAAAGTCTAAGAAGAAATTATATAAACATGGGAAACGTGCTCATAAGTATCAAGGTAGTCATAGTTAAGACCATTTCTATCCATATGGAAAGAATAAATGTTCTACTATTAATTATAGTAGAAAACAAAAATCAGAGATGCGTTCTTGCCATAAGTGTGGAATAATTAGACATTTAGCACATGCATGCCGTACTTCAGAATATTTTATTAAAATGTTCCAAGAAAATAAGAAATTACGAGCTGAGGTTCATGAAGTTCATACCATGGATGCGTCCATGGATTCAATTGGTGTTGATGACTTAGAGTCTTATATGAATGATAGAACCTCTAATGATGAATCAAATGATGCGCTGTCGTGTTGTAACATGAGTATACCATGAAAATGTAAACAAAGGGGACTTTCATTAATATTCAGTTACCTCGAATATTGGGAGCAACGACCAACTCCAGTGCAAATACTGAGAGGCCAGGTTCAGTCACCCCATTACAGTCAGCCGAGGCATACTAAAATGCTCCGTTCGATTCCAATAACGGGAGTCAACAGAAAGGGAAAGGACCAATTCAACAACGGGTGAGCCTAGTTCGAAGAGCCAATTGGATCCAATTTCAAGACATCCAATCCAGGTCCTATTACGGGCCTCTTACCCAATATGAGACCTGACTTGGTCGGGCAACCCAATGCGGTCCAATTACGGGAACATCCAGGTCTTACTACGGGCCTCTTAGCCAATATGAGACCTGAATTAGTCGGGCAACTCAATGTAGTCCCGATTACGGGGGTTTCGATTCTGTTTCAGGCTGTTTCGTCTTTTGTGTCGTTCCGAGAACATCTCTTCGGTAGAAGGATCTCTTAAAGGTAAAAACGGAGGAGAAAGCTCTGACGGCGGAGCCAATTCTGGACCCAAGATGGAAGATTGAAGAAATTCAGAGGCTAGGGTTTGAAAGAAGGGAGAATTAGGGTTAAAGGGGAGGATAGGTTAAGAAATGAAGGGAGGAGAATAAGTTTTTGAGAAAGGTCGAAGAACTAGCTTGATGCTTCGGAAGGGAAAAAAAGACAAAGAATTGGATTTTTTTTCTTCATAGGGTTTTGGGAAGACTGAGACAATCGTTACTGAAGTCAGGGTTGTACTAGTGAATCGGGATTTTTAATGAAGTGGGTGTGATTACTCTTGACTGTTTTGTGAAATCGAAGTTACGTCTGTGATTGAAGGATTATAAGGGTGTCTATAGGATTGAGTATGCGGAGTGAGTAAAAAATTTTGGGTTAATCTAACAAGACAGTCAGTGGATACAAGATCGTGAGAATAAAGCGGTATCCAAGATTAGCAGTTTGGGTTGTTCGAGGTTCTCTGTAACGTCTAGAGACCTACCGGCTGGGGCAAAAAGGACTTCGACGAGTAGTCAAAGGACATCCGTATAGATTTATGGTGTATTCTTGTAGTTGTTTATATTCCAGCAGTCAAAAATCGATAAACTGCTTGAATATTAGCGAATCTCTATACTACCTTCTACAGCCAGACGCCCGGTACGTTCTCGAGCAGGAAAGCACGTAATACGACAGTGCTCATTGATTCTGCAACAACACATACTATCTTATGAGATAGACGATTTTTTATTGAAAAATCTTCAACTTGGCAAACTAAAAATATTATGACCATCGTTGGAGCAAATGCGTTTTGTTTCCAAGAGGGCACAGCGATGGTAAAATTACCTGCGGGTTCCATCATAAAATGTAAACATGCGATGTTTACACCCTCAGCACCTCGGAGTCTGATTAGTTACCAAAATGTGCGTATTAATGGTTATGACCTCTCGATCGCCACTTTAAATAAAAAAGAAGTTTTGGTTCTTGCGAAGAACCATAAAGTTGTTGAAAAAGCTTTTGCTATAGAAAATGGTTTATACCGAATTGTGATTCGGCCTCTCATTATATTTAATTTTGCATCATATATCATAAAGAGTCGTGTTTCTCTCTGGCATGGACGATTGGGACATCCAGGATCCACATTATTTAGAAAGATCATTCCATATATAACTTGGCATAATTTAAAGCCTGCAAATGTAGACTCTATGGAATCATGTCATGCATGCATGCAAGGTAAAATGATTACTCA